TACTGGCTCTCGTTAACATGTGAACTCTCGTTACACGTGAAATATTAAATAAACCCATTTATGGTGTTCCATTATAATATTAATAAATTTACTTTAAATGTAATCAAAAAAAGACAAATGTATTTATTCTGCAGAACATGTTGAGCCTCGCTTACTAGGCTAAGTGGAACAGTTCTACCTGTTAGGCACAATATGTGTGCTTGAGTAGGAGAGAGATCGTAGTAACATAGTGCACTAGTCAAAAAAATATCCCTGAATATATATAACTGCATAATGATAAATTTCCTTAACTAGATGTTAGTTTAGTCATGCCTAAGTAAGTATGAATGTAGTTAGTTCCACGACTGAATTGTGGAGGTGGAGCACCTCACCCACATACTAAGTGAGGTGTGGAGCATGTACACTGACCGGCTCCAGAGAGTGGGTGAGGTGTGGAGCATGTGCTCCAGAGAGTGAGTGAGGTGTTGAGCATGTACACTGACCACCTCCAGAGAGTGGGTGAGGTGAGGAGCATGTACACTGACCTGCTCCAGAGAGTGGGTGAGGTGTGGAGCATGTACACTGACCTGCTCCAGAGAGTGGGTGAGGTGTGGAGCACGAACACTGACCTACTGCAGAGAGTGGGTGAGGTGTGGAGCATGTACACTGACATGCTCCAGAGAGTGAGGTGTGGAGCGTGTACACTGACCTGCTCCAGAGAGTTAGGTGTGGAGCATGTACACTGATCTCCTCCAGAGAGTGGGTGAGGTGTGGAGCATGTACATTGATCTGCTACAGAGAGTGGGTGAGGTGTGGAGCATGTACACTGATCTGCTACAGAGAGTGGGTGAAGTGAGGAGCATGTGCACTGACCTGCTCCAGAGTGGGTGAGGTGTGGAGCATGTACCCTGACCTGCTACAGAGAGAGGGTGAGGTGTGGAGCATGTACACTGACCTGCTCCAGAGAGTGGGCGAGGTGTGGAGGCAGGATGAATGTGGGCTGGCGACCTGCGGAGTCAGGAACATACAGAGAGCCGTCCATGTCCTTCACCATTCGCTCCGCCAGTTCCCAGTGTCCAGCGTCCAGGGCAGCGTGCAGAGGACTCGCGCCGGACTTGCTACATAAGGAGGACTGAGCACCAGCCCGGTGGAGGAAGCTGCAGGTCAAGGTGCACTTGGCACGAGCCGCCTGAACCATGAGCTTAGTCAGGCTCATCACTGACCTGCCTCGGGGCCAGCGGGCTTGCCATGGGGCCTTGTCTCCTATGGTGGATATTAGTTCATCAACACCTGCACCAAGCTCTCTTACTTCATCAACACCTGCACCAAGCTTTCTTACTTCATCAACACCTGCACCAAGCTTTCTTACTTCATCAACACCTGCACCAAATTCTCTTACTTCATCAACACCTGCACCAAGCGCTGCCAGCTCTTTGATCTTAGCACGTTCTTGCTCCAGTATATGAAGGAACACCTGTAAACACATTGTATTGTTGTAACACATACACCAACACCTGTAAACACATTATATTGTTGTAACACATGCACCAACACCTGTATACACGTTACGACATAGACCGTATGCACCATCTGCCAGCTGGTGCACCTGTTGCACCAGGTGCACCCAACAGGTGCTGCACAAACAGGTGCAGCCCGCGCGGGTGATCACACCCGCGCGGGCTACGTTGAAAGGGCTAAAGTGTGTGTGGCCTAAGTTATGGTGGCGACGTAACCACCTGGTACACCTGTGCCACCTGGTACACCTGTTGCACCAGCTGGCAGATGGTGCACACGGTCTACGTCGTAAATTTCACAACTACTACTGGTGGACACAATACCAATTTGTGTATTTTGGTCACTATACCAACTGGTGCATGGTGGACACTATATCAACTTGTGTATGTTGGTATAGTGTCCACCACACTATACCAACTGGTGTTGGTATACACTATACCAACTGGTGTATGGTGGTCACTATACCAATTGGTGTATGGTGGACACTATACCACCTGGTGTATGGTGGTCACTATACCAACAGGTGTATGGTGGAGACTCACCCGCGTGATGGTGACCTGCAGACGGAGAGTGACGTCAGGGGAGCACCAGGCTAGTGTCAGCAGGTTGAGGCCGTGGGAGGTGGTGGTGAGCGGTGCTCCAGCTGCCAGCAGGAGGCTGGTGATCCTGCACCGGTTACTGGTGACGGCCAGACACAGCGGGGCGACGCTCCAGCATCCCTGGGGCTCCAGGGACGCTCCTGACCACAACAGCTGATCCGCCTGCTGGGTGTCGTCACACAGGCTGATCACACCCAGCAGCTGCTCGTACACCTCTCCTGGTCCACCCTCAACCTGCACAATGTCACAGTCTTAGACAAATGTCGCTCTTCTTCTTGTTCATTATGAATCATCAGAAGTTTGTATGTGAGTAAACCTTACTTGTGTTGGTAATGTACTGGACGAGTGAGAACTTACTCATGTTGAAACTCGCCCCTTAGTAGTTACTTTCTCGAAAACAATTCTTGTACAATGATAGAGACGTTTAACTTTACACTAATGTGGTACATTTCATATATTTTGAGCCAGACTTAAGTTAACAACCTCTCTTGACAAATACATGCTGGTTATTTCGCGGTTCTGTCTAACTTCAGTAAAGTTCGATGGATATTGTATTGTGAAGGGACGGGCTCTTAGGTTGTGTGTGGGACACGAGCTTGTTCCTACTTGTATGTGGGTATGAGTACTGACAGCCGTCCTTACTAAAGAGTAATGGAAATATAGAGCCTGCCCTTCAGTAGTTCTTATAGTGATTGTTTAACCAGACTCACCGTGACAGGATCATACGCTCATCTCCCTGCCAGGGCCCAGTCAGTGTTAAGACACAGATCAAGGGGACATGTTAATGTCTAACTGTACAGTGGGTCTATTATCATAGTCTTTAATTTATACGTACACAAAAATATATATATTGAACATGGCTCTAATACTATCGACCGAGAACTTTACCAAGGATTATTAGACACCCCAAATTTGGACTTATTTAACACACATGTATACTCTAATATTCACAATATTAACACTGAATTTTAATATACATGAGAAGTATTCTTAACTGGAAATTAGTTCACTGTTATATCTGTTACACTTGCAATTACCAATTGTGGATGAAGCAATATTCTCAGGTCACGGGATCCAGAATGATACTCACACAAGTTTACACCATATACACAAAAGATGGAGAAGTACTAACACTTGCCAGCCGGCACTGGAACATAAAGATATATGGGAAATTCCTGCATCATTCATAAATTTTAATAAATGTTGGTTTGTATCAGTTTAAGTATGAATAAAATGTTTTAGTTAGTCATGAAGGAGATGACGAAAATGATAACTTTGTTCCAGAAAACTGGATTAATATATCCTGAGTCGTCTACATCTCGATCTCTAAACGTTTCTAGCTAATTTAATATAAAAATCACCAGTCTCAGGACTGGGAATAGTATGAAACTAATCTTTTAAATGAATTACACGTATATTGTAATTCGTGTAATGTATGTAATGTATTGTAATTAAATTGCTTTATGAAATTAAACAAAACTCTCCTCCCAGTTCTCGATATAGAGCACACCATGAGGTGACGCGCGCGGAGGAAGAGACGGCATTTGTGCACTTACACAGGAGAGTGAATCAACATAATGTGGTATTGGTGTCGACAAACCGAGCCTCCCACATCGGTCACTAACTTTACCCACAAGTCCTAGACCGCAGCGTGACCAACAAGCAGTCACTATTTGTTTCAATGACTTGACAAAATTGAGGAAAGTGCAAAATTAGTTTTCTTCTATTAGCATAGATTTATCAACCAATTATTTCAGTGTTTAGGATTAATCGTTACGATGCCAGATAAAACCATCCGCAAAGGTAAGAATCTATTATTATTATACCTTATACTCATGTATTACAGTTTTATTATATCTGTTGTTTGTAAATGTTAGAATGTAACACTTCCACAGGTAAATTGTGATCACATGAAGATGCTACACCATGGTGGGATTACGAGGCCGCTATTATTACTGGTATAGTACGGACTGTACACGTGGCTGACGGGTATGGTACAGACTGTACATGTGGCTGACGGGTATGGTACAGACTGTACATGTGGCTGACGGGTATGGTACAGACTGTGCACGTGACTGACGGGTCTGGTACAGACTGTACACGTGCCTGACGGGTCTGGTACGGACTGTACACGTGGCTGACGGAGTGTGATGTTGGATGATCAACTTACACACTACATAAACAGCTCAGACTGTTTCAAGTTTTACTAATACTAAGTAACTTAGATTTACCAATTAGAACTGAGATCTGCCATTTAATTACTTTTAAATCTATACTTTTATATATATATATATATATATATATATATATATATATATATATATATATATATATATATCACCTCATTCTTTGGGGTGTTCACACCCCAAAGAATGGGGTGAGGAACACACGTGTGTTCCTCACGTGTGCCCCAAAGAATGAGGTGATTTGATAAAATGCTATGCCCAAGATTACCATCCGAGTGCCGGCAGGGAAGTGGTTCAAATAGCTTCGGCTATCACTTCCTTATGTCCGGTCGTGATGGTCAAGCGGATTAAGGCGTCCCTGTACATACCAGTTGCGTTGCTCCTGGCAGTATGGGTTCGAGTCACTTCTGGGGTGTGAGTTTTCAGTTGTATATAGTCCTGGGGACCATTCAGGCTTGTTTGCATATATATATATATATATATATATATATATATATATATATATATATATATATATATATATATATATATGTCGTACCTAGTAGCCAGAACGCACTTCTCAGCCTACTATGCAAGGCCCATTTGCCTAATAAGCCAAGTTTTTATGAATTAATGTTTTTTCGACTACCTAACCTAATCTAACTTTTTTCGGCTACCTAACCTAACCTAACCTATAAAGATAGGTTAGGTTAGGTTAGGTGGGGTTGGTTAGGTTTGGTCATATATCTACGTTAATTTTAACTCCAATAACAAAAAATTGACCTCATACGTAATGAAATGGGTAGGTTTATCATTTTATAAGAAAAAAATTAGAGAAAATATATTAATTCAGGAAAACATGGCTTTTTAGGCAAATAAGGCCTTGCATAGTAGGCTGAGAAGTGCGTTCTGGCTACTAAGTACGATATATATATATATAATATATATATATATATATATATATATATATATGTCGCACCTAGTAGCCAGAACGCACTTCTCAGCCTACTATGCAAGGCTCGATTTGCCTAATAAGCCAAGTTTTCCTGAATTAATTTATTTTCTCAAATTTTTTTCTTATGAAATGATAAAGCTACCCATTTCATTATGTATGAGGTCAATTTTTTTTTATTGGAGTTAAATTTAACGTAGATATACGACCGAACCTAACCAACCCTACCTAACCTAACCTAACCTATCTTTATAGGTTAGGTTAGGTTAGGTAGCCGAAAAAATTAGGTTAGGTTAGGTTAGGTAGTCGAAAAACAATTAATTCATGAAAATTTGGCTTATTAGGCAAATTGGGCCTTGCATAGTATCCTGAGAAGTGCGTTCTGGCTACTAGGTACGATATATATATATATTGCGACGATAATCTCCTTCAAGAGAGATTGAGCCTGCTCTTCCCTCCTAAGTTCGTCGCTATACATCCCTATACAACTAATATGGAAGAAATATCCAACAAGTACTACACCAAGGGTTGCCAGAGAGCAAACGTATTCAGCACCAGGAACACCTGCTCCCCCCTCCGCCACTCAAACCACCAAACTACCTGTCCGTCGCCTGCTCATCGCTGATTGGCTGGTGATCAGTCGCACCTGCCCTCCACCGCCACACTACCTGATGTCTGGGGCCACCACGACCTACAGCCCTCAGAATATCCCGTGCTTTCCACAAGTTAACACGTCTCGTTGGTAGACTAAGCTCTGGCTTACGTGTACTAAGAGAGGTGGCAGCTTAAAGCCAATATTCCTGCATCCATATATCTTATTGTATATTGTTCACTTGTTATTACTCACTTGTCTTAACGTAACTTTTCATTTTGCCATTTGATTATTCTTATTATTTTGATTGATTGATTTTATGTTCCAATTTGTATGTCCATTTTATTCATGTTTTGCTTTTCTAACGTTATTAAAATCTCATTGTTAAATTTACTTGTGTTTTGTGTGTCTTCCCATTACCTTACACAGACGAAGTTCCAGATTTTCTCTTTTTTGTTTCTTTATGTGACGAGGCCATACCCCTAGCTTTTGAAACAGCCGAACACCAACGCGTTACCGTCACAATATATATATATATATATATATATATATATATATATATATATATATATATATATATATATATATATATATATATATATACAATGGGAAACATTGATGAATGTCACAGACGGGTTCGATCATTGTTGCAAGTCAAACACTTCTTCGAATTCCTCTGAAGTTGGACTAGTGCCCAAGACGCAACAGGCGTCTAATATATATATATATATATATATATGTCGTACCTAGTAGCCAGAACTCACTTCTCAGCCTACTATTCAAGGCCCGATTTGCCTAATAAGCCAAGTTTTCCTGAATTAATATATTTACTATAATTTTTTTCTTATGAAATGATAAAGCAACCCTTTTCTCTATGTATGAGGTCAATTTTTTTTTATTGGAGTTAAAATTAACGTAGATATATGACCGAACCTAACCAACCCTACCTAACCTAACCTAACCTATATTTATAGGTAAGGTTAGGTTAGGTAGCCAAAAAAAGCTAGGTTAGGTTAGGTTAGGTAGGTTAGGTAGACGAAAAAACATTAATTCATGAAAACTTGGCTTATTAGGCAAATCGGGCCTTGAATAGTAGGCTGAGAAGTACGTTCTGGCTATTAGGTACGACATATATATATATATATATATATATATTAGACGCCTGTTGCGTCTTGGGCACTAGTCCAACTTCAGAGGAATTCGAAGAAGTGTTTGACTTGCAACAATGATCGAACCCGTCTGTGACATTCATCAATGTTTCCCATTGTATATATATATATATATATATATATATATATATATATATATATATATATATATATATATATATATATATATATATATATAATGTCGTACCTAGTAGCCAGAACGCACTTCTCAGCCTACTATGCAAGGCCCGATTTGCCTAATAAGCCAAGTTTTCATGAATTAATGTTTTTTCGACTACCTAACCTACCTAACCTAACCTAACTTTTTCGGCTACCTAACCTAACCTATAAAGATAGGTTAGGTTAGGTTAGGCAGGGTTGGTTAGGTTCGGTC